CTGCCATGTCCCATCATGATGATAATGGATGGAACCTCTGAATTTTAAGTGAGCCACCCAATTAAATGTTTTCCATTATAAGAGTTGCCATGGTTATGGTGTCTCTTCACAGCAATAGAACCCTGACTAAGAAGACACTATCTCTGCAGGGAGAAGCAATGGCTTCAGCAGGTAGGACCGGACATGTGAGTGATGCAGTCTGATAGTCAGTAAGTTAAAGTCACATCCAATACAACCCTCTTAGACTGAGAGCTCAGGGGTTCTGTGAAGTATGTACCAGGAATCACAACTATATCACAAAAATCCCAAAGGACAAGTAAGGCCTACTAGTAATAAGAAGTTAGGCACCCATGTCTCCAAGGCCCTGGGCATCTCCTTTCTAGGGGTCAGAGTATAGACACAAGGTGCCCAGCCAACACCCTCTCCATCCACCCCTGAAACAGTGACCATCTTCACCTTTAAAGTAGATGTAATTCACCAGCACCACTAACGAACTCTCATCCAGGTGTGAGATTACTTCCTTGATCTTCCCCTGGGTCTGTTGGCTTACATAGTCATTGATGAGTTTTTTGGCCTCATGAGGCTGCTGGAAGTCAGTCACAGAGGCCTCAACCTGGTAGAGCACCCGTGCCTTTTCCTTGAACTCTGCCAGGATCTGCAGGTGCTTTTTAATAAACATGATGCTGCCTATGCTGATTTTCACCTGGTCCCCTGGCTGACTGAGCATATGGAAGAGGTGCCCAAAGCTCCGGTGGATATCTGCCTCAGAGGTCTCTGTGAGATTGAATTGAGACCTTCTAGAATCTCTTCCAGGGTGTTGCTGCTTGCTCTCAGGGACAGGATGGCCAAAGCTACTGAGATGCTGAATGGGGAGAATATGACATTTTTATCTGGATTCTTCAAAACCAACTCCTTGTAGAGGGTGAAGGCAAAGTCATTGTTGATAGAGGCCATTGTTTGACTGTCCACTGGTGTCACATTGTTTTGGTCTTCCTGGACATCAGCATTTCTTTCCAATGAGCCATCTAGTTGGCAGGGCAGAACCCAGCCATCAAAAGGATAAAAGCTACAAGGAGGGCCATCTTCTCTGCTCTCTTGTCTGAAAAGGAAGATTTTTGGAGTCTGGAAAGATCAGGTAGTGACCTGACCATCTCCTTGTCCTTCAACCTTGCATGTACTGTATCCAGGCTCTGCTGCCATTTTCTGCTTTTGTGACCATCTGTTAGGGATGCTCTGGACTCTCAAATGGCACTACCAGATCCCACACAGCCTGTTTCCACTAGAGGAAGTGATGCTGCAGTAGTCAATTTTTCTCCTAGAATATCAGGATCCATAGAGATAAAGGGACATGCCAGACTAACAAAGTAAGGAAGAAAAGGACCTGAGGATGGGCAAAATCCTTCTGTAATCATAATTCTTTCCTCTTTTTGCTTTGCATAAGAGCTCACTAGAAATTAGGGAATACTCTTAATTTACACTTGTCCCCTACTCACCATCACCAACTTCTAGTAAGGACTCAGTGAAGGATCTTTGAATTAGATTAGCAGCAAATGCTCCATCCCAACCTCCAGATGACAAGTTCATGACATCTCACTGCCCTGGGATGCATCTGGTTCCTGTGTCTGGGCATGAGGTGGGATAATTGAGAGGTAGCACTGTAGATATCTGACGCAGTATTAAAGCCTTGGCATCTCCAAGAACAGGTATTAGAAAGACCAATGGAGAATGGTTCTTTCAGCTCTGCCAGGATACCACAGGGTGGTTTCTGTTTCAGGCTTGGAAGACTTCCTGACAGGAAGAAAATTAAATGGTGTCCCAGTCTCTGATGACTGAACCAGATTTCATTTTTGTTGTCGGGATAGCTGTGTGGTAGTAACAAGCAGATTGGTGGATCATTCTTGGCAGCCCAGTGAGTGGCCCAGGTTACATTAGTAGTAAATGTGCCTGACTTATTATGGGAATTGGGATGATTGTAGGGAATGTCCAGAGAGTCATCTCTTCCATACACCCCTGGAGTGGGGGCCACGAGCATCCTAATGACCACAGGGAAGCTATATAGTAGGGGGGACACTAGGATGACCGTGGCTTATAATAAGTTTGGTTTTACTCAATTACTTGGCAAGCCTCAATGAAACATTTCATTATTAGGATAAGAATTTATACTGCATCAAGCTGATAGTAAATAAATAAATAAATAAATAAATAAATAAATAAATAAATAAATAAATAAATAAAAATGAAAAAAATAAATTCACATGTAGCCAAGGATGACCTTCAACCTTTGTCCTCCGGCCTCCACCCTCCAAGTCCCGGTTACAAAGTGATTGGAAGGATCTGCACTTGGCTGTGCTAGGGGGAGGTCTTTTGCTCCACTCCTTGGCATTCCTATAAATAGCCCTTTAGAAGAGATAGGAGGGGCTGGTGGATAAGGATCTAGGCCTTCCTGAGGTTATCCTGTGTTTCTATCTGTTTCTATCCCCTGTATCCTTCTATCTAGTATCTCTGATATCCCTCTCATCTCAAGAGTTCCCTGTCATAAAATGTAATAGCAGGTCTCCTAGCTGGGCTCCCAAAAATGATACCAGGAACTACAGCCTTGGCAATAGGAGAGAGAGGGAGTTGCAATTGTAAGGAGGCATGCCCCATAAGGAATTAAAAATGAAGGCAAAGATTTTTTATTTTGGGGAGTGAAAATAAGATGGCTGAATGCCAAAGTTGAAAAGTGAGGTGCAGTGAATATTTCTCTCTTTCTAGGTTTCTTTCTTTTTCTCTCTCTCTTAATTTCTATCTATAAAAATTAAGGAAAAAATATAAGGTAGAATAAAGGAATATAGTGTAGAAAAAACTTAGGGTAAGAAGGAAAAATATAAGGTAGAATATAGGGATATAGTGTAAGAAAAAACTTAGGATAAGATAAGCAACAAGACAGAGGAACTATGTCTTTGATTTTCCAACTACGGGAATATGAATGCAAATTCCTGGGGAAGAAACAGAGAAAAATCTATCAAAATGAGAAAAACAGGCAGAAAAAGATTCCTATGGAAACTTTTAGCCTGTGAAGAGCTTAGATTTAAGTCCTGAGCAGTAGAGGAAAGAATTTTTCCTGAGGCAGTTGTGAGTTAAATGAAACTCTTCACTTCACTGACATTGTGACTGTATGATAACATCATACCATCAGAATTAGTTTCCTTGGTCATAAAGCCAATAATAGGAAACAGAAGTCTTGGGGAAATTTTAGCAATCTTTCTCTCAAAATCTGAAAGGTTTCTTTGGAAAATTTCATAATTTCTCTCTAAAATCTGGAAGCTCTTCAGGTCTTTCTCAGAATTTTTCTCTTTCTGTAAGGGCAAAAATAAAACTCACCTGGAAATAACGCCTATCAATATGGGAAAATCACCTGTAATTGCTCTAGGAAAAACAAACAAACAAACACACAAACAAACCCTCTTGGAACAGGACAAATCCTCTCTGCTACTCCTGTCTTTCCTTCAAGCTGGTATTAGGGGAAAAAAAAACCGCTGAGCAGCTTTTTTTTTCTTTTCCTAACAAAGAAAAGATCTCTCTGAAAAAGCTCTTTGTTTTCTTTCTCTATTGGGGAAAATCTGTCTAAAAAAGCTCTATTTTCAAGTACTGTCTTTATTTTTTCATTGATCCAATAAGGCAGGGGAACAAAGGGTTACCAAAATGCCTGTCTGAGTGTGAGCAGACAGACAGATGCAGCCCACTCTGGGGGACAATGCCAGGTGAAGGAAATGTAACTATCGATGCCAGCTCAGGGAGAACAGAAATCTCCCCTGGTAAGAGAACAAAACTTTGACTGAAAAAATTCCCATGGTAAACGCAAAAGCTTGAATACAGTGTGAATAGAAGTTTTCTCCCAGAACCAGAAAGGCAGCATAGGAAATGTAGTTCATTTGTAACAATGTGATGATATATAGAGAAAGGCAGCTTGGGAAATATAGTCTGTAAGGTGGGTTGTAACAGCATGACAATATAGAGAAAGGCAGCTTGGGAAATGAAGTCCATAAAAGAGATACCAGTGCAGCACTGACCAAAAACTCTTTTTTTTTTTTTCTCTGCTCGAAATTCTATTTTTTTCACAAGCTCTGTTAGCTTGCCTCTCAAGAACTAGAAACAGGCAAACAGCTTGCCAGTCAGGAGGCAATTAATATGCTAATACTATTTGTCAAGAAGTCACTTTGAAACCCTTTAGAATACTAGGGAAAGAGGTCCATACAGTGAGAAATTGCTTTGGTTGTGAAAAAAAGAAAAATCTTATAGGCAAATAAAAAAGCTTGGGTTGTGCTTGAAATGCAAGAGAGAAACATTGGCATCATTGAAATGGTCATGATAGTCTTAAAAAGCAGCTTTAAAAAAATAAGAAGAGGGAATTTTTCACTCAGTCAAGCTTAGAGCCACTGGTGAATTAACCTCTGACTTCAAACTGTCAGAAAAACTTTTAGAATGACATAAAATCTGACTATAAACTCTGAACTTAGAAATGATTTCCCTATTTCCTGACTTGTTAATAGTTCTGTTAAGAAATCTCTTCTAGGTGTTTGCTAGTCGAGTTTGATTTTGAATGTAAATTAATGCTGTTAGATTCTTCTAGATATGTGGTAAAATTTATAAAGTTGTTCTACAAAGTTTCCTTTTGAATATAAGTTTGTAAAAAGGTATAAATATGTATAGTGATATGCTATTTGTAAATATGTAGAATGGTGCCGAGGACAATTTCAAGAGCCATGCCATATTGCCTGCCTGAATTAACTTTCTGTTGTCCAGTATTGAGCCACTAACCAGAAACTTTTGACATGCTTGGACAAGTCCTGAGTTACTAGAAAATAACTTAACATTTCCTTATCTTTCTGCTATAGTGACCACTAGTAACAATGTTTTGTGGTTAGGTTGCTTGCTTGGGTTGCTTGGCAACTCAACAGTCCTCTAATCTTTTCCCAAAGAAAGTTTCCTGGTCTGCTTACTCTAAATCCCACCTGAGAAAAATAAAATTTTGCAGCTTGATCAGAATACTGCCTTGATGTCAGTTCTTTGTGTCTCTTGTCCCTTCATTCGCCATTCCCCCTTCTAGGGTCTCTGCTGAAGATCGGGACAACTGGCGCCCAGAGTGAGGCTCGAGGACATGGAGGAGTGGTGAACGTCGTCACACACCAAGGCAGGCCTGCCTAAGAGTTGGACCACCATGGAAGACGGCTCCATGAGCGAAGGTCGGGTCAGTGATCACCACGGAAACGCCCGACTGTGAGTCAGATCCGGAGGAGTTTTAACGTGACGAAGCAAGGTAAGTTTACCATGGGACAAGCATGAAATAAACAGGATTTGTTTATTTCGGGACTGAAACAGTCTCTCAAGACGCGAGAAATTAGGGTTAAAAAGAAAGACTTAAAAAAAAAAATTCTTGACTATATTGGAGATGTCTCTCCTTGGTTTTCTTAAGAAGGAACCATAGATGAAAAACACTGGAGACGGGTTGGTGACTGTTTTAATGATGTTTACCAGACCTTTGGTCTTGAAAAGGTCCCCGTCCAAACCTTTTCCTACTGGAATTTAATTAATGATGTCTTAAAAACATATCATTCCCCTGATGTTCAAAAATTAATTAAAGAGGGAGAAAAAGCCTGAAAGAGTACTCCCATCCACTCTTTGTCTATCATTCTGTCAGTATTAATATTCCTGAACCCCATATGTCTAGTCTTCTGGCAACAAATAACCATCAGAGAAGAAAAAAGAGGGAATCCCCACCTCTCCCTCAAAGGTGCTCGCCACTTATCCATCTTTAATGGCCAAGATAATTATTAAGGGCAGAGAAACAAGTTGTCAATACTTTGGAAACGATCCTGACTCCATAGTCCTCCCCTATACTCGAGAACAAGTAGATTGGCTGCTTCAAACAAATGATGAATGGCCCATTGCCTGCTCCTCCTTCCTTGGTACTATTGATAACCATTATCATAGTGATCCCTTGTTACAGTTTGCCAGAATTCATCCCTTTGTTTTCCCCAAATTAACTGCCTCACAACCTATAAGGGAGGCTCCCCTGGTATTTACAGATGGCTCAGCCAATGGAGTTGCCGCCTATGTTGTGGATGGTAAGGCTACCTCCTGCCTCTCCCTATATTCCTCAGCACAGCTTGTTGAACTTTATGCAGTCATTCAAATTTTTCAATTATTTCATTCTCAGCCCTTTAATTTGTATACTGATAGTGCTTACGTTGCCCATTCTTTTCCCTTATTGGAAACTGTTCCTTTTATTAAACCCTCTACCAATGTAGCTCCACTTTTTCTTCAGCTGTGCTCCTTGATTATGGCTAGACAGTGCTCCTTTTTTATTGGCCATGTTCGGGCCCATTTAAAATTGCCTGGTCCTCTATCTGAAGGAAATGCATTGGCTGATGCCACCACACAATTAGTTTTTCCTGTTCTCACGGGATCCCTTTCTCAGGCTGCTCAAGCACACTCTCTTCACCATTTAAATGCTCATTCCCTTTGTTTGTTGTCTAAGTTTACCCAAGAACAGGCCCGAGAAATTGTTAAAAATTGCACTGACTGTGCTGTCTCCCTCCCAGTTCATCATCTGGGAGTTAACCCCCAGGGCTTGCTTTCCAATGAAATTTGGCAAATGGATGTTACTCATTTAATTGAATTTGGCAAATTTAAATACATACATGTTACAGCTGATACCTTTAGAGGTTTTATATTTGCCTCTCTCCAGGCTGGAGAGGCCTCCAAAAATGTTATCTCCTACATTTTACAATGCTTTTCTGTCCTAGGAAAGCCTAAAGTTATAAAAACTGATAATGGCCCAGGATATACTGAAAAAAATTTTCAATCTTTTTACCAGCAACTTCAGATTAAGCATGTCACTGGCAGTTCTTACAACCCCCATGGCCAGGGCATCGCTGAACATGCTCATCAGACTCTAAAATCCATGCTTCATAAATTAAAGAAGGGAAGCCTGTATGATATGCAAGGCAACCCCCAAAATCTTTCACATCATGCCCTTTTTGTCCTTAATTTCCTTACCTTGGACAAGAATGAAAGGTCTGCAGCGGATTGCTTTTGGCATCCACAAACTCAAAGCCACCAAGCATTGGTCATGTGGAGAGACCCCTTAACTGCCTAGTGGAAAGGGCCTGACCCAGTCCTGATTTGGGGTCCAGGGTCAGCATGCATCTATGACCAAACAGAGGGAGGCCCTAGTTGGCTCCCTGAGAGATTAGTTAAACAAGTCAACTCTAACCAATCATCCAGGGAAAAGGATAGCCCCTGAGGTCATTTTCCCTTTCATTCTCCTTCTTTACAGATGCTGATGAAGAAAAAAACTGGGAGAATTTCCCTGGATATTCTGGATCTTGCTGCTGCCTGTACCTTCTCATCAGGACCAGAGACTGTTTGACACACCCCCATTTGCATGGCATTTTTATTTGACTGAAAATTATACTAATTATGCTAAAACACAGACCTTTGGTCACCTATTGGCTACCACTGATTGCCCCTTGCAAGGATGTCAGAATCCCATTTTACTCAACTTTACTGATTTCCATAATTCCCCCAGCAAGGTGCCTCCTGCTATCTGTTTTTTGTATGATCAGACTGTTCACAATTGCAAAACTTATTTGAAAGAGAAAAGTGTAGGATGCCCCTATTCTTACTGCAAAATTCATGATGCCATTCCTCCTGCTAAGGGACAGGTAATTGAGAGAGAATGGAATGGCCCTAAATTTTATAAGACATTTACAGGATATTCCCTAGTGGTTTGGGACCCGTGGGACTCACGATGGACTAGTCCAGTAGAAGGAGCCATGTATATGGCCCGAACTGCCACATGGCCTAGCTCCAGACTTTACATTTGGTGCTCTTATGTACAAGCATAATTTACGGTCCATCATAATATCCTTACACAAGAAAAAAATTTAATGACACAAATATCATCCCCCTCCTCTCCATTTTCTTGGCTTTCCCTCCTCCGAGAAGGCCTTATGTTTGCCAATGTTACTGGCATTGGGAATCTCTCATCATGCTTCCTATGTGCAGCCTTGGAACGTCCTCCCCTGATAGCAGTACCCCTGCCTCAGATCCCTAATTGGGCCACCACTGATAATTCCCATGGCTTCCACCCCATCCCTGAAGTACCCTTGTTTCTTGACCCAGGCTGCTCCAAGTTTGAGTTTTGCTTTTCTAGTGTTTCCCTTCCCTTTTGTAACCAGACTGTATTACCCAATCGTCCTTTTGCCCCCTCTGGATTTTTCTTTTGGTGCAATGGCACTCTATCAAAAAACTTGATCATCCCTATCCCACAGGACATGATCTGCCTATCTGTCACTCTGGTCCCACAACTTATGCTCAGGACTCCTGCGGAGTTCTTGGGATGGGACTTGCCCCAGCCCAAGCAAAAAAGAGCTGTCTTCTTGCCCCTTGTGGCCGGAATTTCCCTTGCCACCTTGCTGGTCTCTGCAGGCTTGGCAGGAGGAGTTCTGGGTCATTCCCTCATAACAACAGCTCACCTATCCAAGCAACTTCAGGTAGCAATTGAGGCTTCTACAGCATCCTTATCCTCCCTCCAGAGGCAGTTAACCTCTCTTGCACAGGTTGCCCTACAAAACCGATGGGCCTTGGACCTGCTGACAGCAGAAAAGGGTGGGACATGCCTTTTTCTGAGGGAAGAATATCATTATTATATTAATGAGTCTGGAATGGTAGAAACCCAGATAAATAAGCTACATAAACTTAGCCTAGAGCTACATAAGCAGCAATTCTCTGCCGCAGCAGATGATTGGTGGAAATCATTCATGTTCTCCCTTTTGATGGCTCTTGCAGGACCATTATTCAGCATCTTGTTATTTGCAACTTTGGGTCCCTTTATAATTGGCAGGCTAATCCGATTCATCAAAAAACAAATAGACTCCCTGGCCTCAAAACCTATACAGGTTCATTACCATCAGCTCGAAATGTTGGATCGAGGATGTGATCCCTATGATATTTCTCAGTCCTCTTCTCCTTTAGGGGCAGCATAAAGTCCGAACCTATGCTTATTGGCATCAGCCAGTATGGACATCACTGGGTGCAAGGCCAAGCACTGCAGGGGAAGGCTGATTGAAAAGCCCTTGGTTCGGATTCCCTGAGAGACAAACCTGACTTGCATAGAGGTTGGTATCTAGAGGCACCAAAAATGCCTAAGCCCTCTTCCTCCCCAAAAGGTACCCTTTTTTCTCAAGCCTGCAGCAGCTCTAGGAGGAGTCAGGTCAATGTCTCCCCCAGCCGGTTAAGGTCCACCACCATTCAGGTGGGCACACTCCCTTATAAAATAAAATAAAGGGAGGAGATGCCGAGGACAATTTCAAGAGCCATGCCATATTGTCTGCCTGAGTCAACTTTCTGTTGTCCAGTATTGAGCCCCTAACCAGAAACTTTTGACATTCTTGGACAAGTCCTGAGTTATTAGAAAATAACTTAATTTCCTTATCTTTCTGCTATAGTGACCACTAGTAACAATGTTTTGTGGTTAGGTTGCTTGGTTGGGTTGCTTGGCAACTCAACAGTCCCCTGATCTTTTCCCAAAGAAAGTTTCCTGGTCTGTTTACTATAAATCCCACCTGAGAAAAATAAAATTTTGCAGCTTGATCAGAATACTGTCTTGCTGTCAGTTCTTTGTGTCTCTTGTCCCTTCATTCGCCATTCCCCCTTCTAGGGTCTCTGCTGAAGATCGCGCTGGTTGGGACAGAATGGAAGTTTGTAAAAAGTGCTGTGGATGATTGATTGCTAAAGAAAACACTGACTGGCCAGTAGCTAGGCAGGAAGTATAGATGGGACAAAGAGGGAGGAGAATGCTGGGAGATGGAAGGCTACCAGATGGAAAAGCATGATGTAAGATACCAGTAAGCCACGAGCCACATGGCAAGGTATAGCTTTATAGAAATGGGTTAATTTAAGATATAGGAACAGAGCCGGGCGGTGGTGGCGCAAGCCTTTAATCCCAGCACTCGGGAGGCAGAGCCAGGTGGATCTCTCTGAGTTCGAGGCCGGCCTGGGCTACCAAGTGAGCCCCAGGAAAGGCGCAAAGCTATGCAGAGAAAGAGAAACCCTGTCTCAAACCCCCCCCCAAAAAAAGATATAAGAACAGATAACAAGAAGACTGCCACAATTTATAAGTAATATAACCATCTGAGTGATTATTTTATAAGTGGGCTGCAGGACTGCGGGGGCTTGGCGGGGCCCAGAGAGAAACTCTTCAAAAGTTTATTATATTTTTATTATTCTCTATTCCTTTACTGGGAGGTATGGCTGCTTTGGAAATCACTGTGGATGATTCTAAGCTCTTAGTAGGGACCTAGGTCACAGATAAGTTAAGTTCTGTACCCCCTCTTGCCAGAGGCTGGTAGCCAAAGATGGGCAACTGTCTTCTTGATAACTTCTTGAATATATGCATGTAAAATTAATCAAGAATAACAAGCTAAGACAGGCATAGTCTGAGGGGCCTGTGGAGCTCGTTTTTATATCAAGAAGGGGGGAGTTGTGGAGGCCCAAAAAGGTTTCCTTGTGAGATCTGAGCTTGCTTTACCCAGCATGGCTACATGAGAGGATTGTTTGACCATGTTCATGGTTACAAGGTGATAGGAAGAGTCTACACTTGGTTGAGCTAGGGGGAGGTCCTTTGCTCCATGCCTTGGCATTCCTATACATAGCCTTTAGAAGAGACAGGAGGAGCTGGGGGATAAGGATCCAGGCCCTCCCAAGGACATCCTGTGTTTCTGTGTTTCCCCTCTCTACTCACGAGTACTCTGTGCTAAAATGTGGGAGCTGGTCTCTCAGCTGGGCTCCCACAGTCTGGGACTCTGGGCTGTATCTTGAGCATTTATGAGACCTCAAAGCCTGCCTCCAGAGTGACACACTTCCTGCAACAAGACCACACCTATTTTAATAAAACCACATCTCCTAATAATGCCATTTCTTATGAGCTTATGGGAAACAATTGCACTCAAACTACCTCAAAAGAAGTCCCTTATTCAGCCCACTCCAGCATTTCTAATATGCTCGTACAGAATCCATCTGCTGGAGAAACTATATCTCTAGGAGGACTCAGGTTGTCTGAGACATCTTGACCTAAGGAGTCTGGCTACCCAATCTTAAATGAGGAAAGTAGCATGTCCCAACTACTGAAGAGCCTTTCACACATTCTTATGTAGGACCTCTCCCTGAACCTTTTCTGTAATGCTGGTCATGGATATGGAAAAGCAGGGACTGAGGAGAAGCTATTAGTGAGAGGGAGGTGTCAGCCTGGCAGTGTTCTGTGTTTAATGTCTGGCTGATTCATGAAATTTTAGTTTGTAAAATTAGTAGCCAAGTCAGCCTATGGGGTCACAGTGCTGAAGACACAATCCTGGGACAACAATACTGGAGTTGAGGGTCAGGAGATTTGGGAGAGTGGGGTGGAATTGTTGTGGGTGAGGTTTAGTTGGAAGATATGTAGAGCCAATACCCATAAAACCCTGTCTGATAGAACAAAGAGTGAGACAATGGACCACAGAAAGATTCCTGATAAAAATCTTGATGTGACTAGATCTGGGGTGGATTTGGGACTCTGGACTCTGGATAAGCCAGAGAAGAGGAGGGTAGGCTCTCAGATAATAACAGAAAACCAATTGGCCATGGACAGAAGAGGATGGGAAGACAGAGGACAGGAGTCCAGGATGGCCTCACAGCAGCTGTGCTGTGAAGGGAGGGGAAGCAGAGTGATGGCCTGCAGGATTAGACTGCAGGGCATGCCTCTCCCTGCTGGGCCCAAGACCTGAACTCCAAGGCTGCTTGACCCTGAGGTGGGGATGTGTGTTTATGTGGCTGGATCCTGAGCCCAAGAAATTGTCAAAGTACCATGTCCCCTAGGGAATATTGCAGATGGTCACATGCACATAACTAAACATTATTTGATTTGTTAAAAGACGAGAAGGAATGAGATATTTAAGGGGAGGGCCCAAGGATACATAAAGTTTAAGTAGGATATCTTTGATTCATGGAGGTGAACATGACCCGTAAGGGAGAAGAGGACTCATTACCAATGTCTTAGTCAACCAATTATGGGATCCTGGTAATCCAACTCTGGGAAGTTCCCAGGCCCTGGAGCTTGACTCTAAGCCCACACTTAGCTCTGGGCTCTGCCTTCCATTAAGTGGTTCACTTTGACGTGCACCATTGACAGGTCACCGTCTGGAGGTTTCAGTCTCTTCCTGTTTCTCTGGAAACATGTCCCACAAACAACTGCCTTCTAGACAGTGTTCCTCCTAAGGAAGAAGGGATCCCCAAATCTCCCCAGGCTCTGGTCTCACCACTTTTACTTTCATTTCTCTTTAAATCACCCCATTCTCAGATCCCAGATTGTTTCCCAGGTTCCTCAAGTAGCCAGGCGTTGGTTTTGCGTTCCCTTTTCCAAACCAAGCCTGTGGATCACTTCTCATTCATAGTTCTGCATATATCAAGGTTTTTCCAATCCAGATTATGCAAGCACCTAGGGATACTACACTCTGTGTTGTTGAAGATGGATTGATTGCTCTCTTGATTCAGAAGCTGGGCCAAAATGGGGTGGAGGTGGAGTCTCTCCTGTGCTGTTACATTTTGATGGCTTGCTCCACATTTAGGGAAATGGAAGACATCATTTAACCCTCGTGATACATTCGAGTCTGAGTTCAACTATACAAGAAGAGGTCTGTGAGGGTGCCCATGATGAACATTGAGGACCTGACCACACCCTACTTCTGGGATGAGGATCTGTTCTGCTCTGTGGTGGAGCTGAAGTACAGAGGCAATGCCAGGGCCCTGTTCATCCTCCCTGATGAGGGCAGGATGCAGCAGGTGGAAGCCAGTTTGCAACCAGAGACCCTGAGGAAATGGAAGGACTCTCTGAGGCCCAGGTGTGTGTCCAAAGGAACCAGAGCTGGTCTGGCTCCCCATCCTGATGCTGCCTTGAGGTTCAGTGTCCCTGACCCTCAGAGTCTCACGACCACCCAGTATAATGACTGGAGAGTCAGCAGGGACACGTGGAGCAGAGGTGACTTTCCCTCTGCTGAGTCAGTAGTTTGGGGCCAGATTTTACTGTCATTTTTGTTGTTCAAAGATGAGCTGAGCTGGAGCAGGAGCTGAGGATTCCTCTGTGTCTAACAGGCTGTAATTACAGGGAATCTTGACTGGGTTTGGAATGCAGAGGGGAGGGAGGTTGAGATGAGATCAGCTCTGAGAATCAGCTGTGTCCTGTGTAGCCCTCTCATCCCCTCACCACTCATTCATTCACCATTCACAGAATGATGACTTGAAGACCCACTATGTGCAATGTTCTGATTTAAACTCTGCAAGTTTTTCGGAGACTAATACACAAAATTTTTTACCCTGTGAGTTCATCTTGTAGTTGAGAAAGAGAGAGTAGGAAGATGGAAATGCAACTAAACATTATTTGATTTGTTAAAAGACGAGAAGGAATGAGATATTTAAGGGGAGGGCCCAAGGATCAGGAAAATGGAGTCAGATGGAGTGTGCAATTTTAAATAGAAGACTCATTAGGTGCAGTCTGAGGGTCCACATGACAAGGAAGGACTGCATTTTCTGGGTCTGGGAAAAAAAGCACTTTGTGTAAGGGAAGAGTTGGTACCAAGCCTCAGTGCCTGCCTCTGTAAACACTCTCAGGCACTGATGGGTAATAAATGCAATAGAAAAGCAAAATCATGTGATGTATGCCTGCATGGAAAGAGGACTTCTCTCTGGTGAGAAGGCTGTCTGTGGAGAGGTGACCTAGCTATAATGTGGTTTGAGAGGGACACACAGTCCAGTGACAGACACTTATATTTCTTCTTTTCATTCTCAGTATGATTGACGAGCTCTACATACCCAAGTTCTCCATCTCCAGTGACTACAACATAGAGGGCATCCCTCAACAGCTGGGTATCAGGGAAGTCTTCTCCACACAGGCTGACCTGTCTAGGACCACAGGGGCCAAGGACCTCAGAGTCTCTCAGGTAAGCCAAGAAACACTGGGTGGTTCTTATTGCATACCAAAATGAGGATAGTGAAGGCCAGGTGGCCAGGGGGAATGGTAAATTTGTGAGAAAGCCTGTGTTTCTGAGATTTCTCATCCTGTGAGAGCTGGATTATAATCTAGATATTCCTGCTGGAGAGCATGCAGCCAATCCCCCCTCTACCCACTGAGCATAATCTTACCCAGGAGCTTAGGGTGGGAAAGAGGCTGTGCTTGGTCTTCGACAACCATAGGTCGAACCTGTGCTGTGTGTGGGTGCTGTCCACAATTCCTTGAAGGGTAAGGCATTTCAGCCTCAGCTTCTTTACTGCAGAGCTGGTCCAGTACTTCTGGACTAGCACATAGAACAGTAGCAGTAGAGGAAATAAGAAGAGATGAATGACAATTGGGATGGAAAACTTAAGAATAGCAGAAAAGATGCCTTAGGACCCCACACTACATTCCCAGATGCACAGCCTGACAATGCCTAGTGTTCTGTCCAGTGCCCACGCAGAGGCCTGGGCTCAGATATGTATTAGTAGGGCCTGGCAGTTTGAGAATAAGAAGTTATGCCATTTGCATTGAGGTTGTTTGTCCCAAGGAGGCTGGAACAGGAGGGACAATGAAGCCTGCACTTGATGCCAGCACCCAGGCTTTTCCCTGTGGGTACTCTGAGAATATTCCTGTAGATTAATGACTGATGCTGTCTACATCCATGCTCCAGTTTGCAGTGTGTTTGAGTGCACCACAGATTCTCACAGCCTGAGCAGAGACTTGGAAACACCAGGAGTAGAGCTCACAGTAGGAAAAACAACCTCTCCATCAGCTGAGGCCAGCAGTGGATGCTTGCTTCAGGAATCTGCTCTACTGCCCCACCCCCTGGTCTCCAGTGAGTGATGTCTTTCTCCTACAGGTGGTCCACAATGTTGTGCTGGATGTGGATGAGACAGGCACAGAAGCAGCTGCTGCCACAAGGGTCAGAGCTTTGGGATCAGCTCTAATTTCTAACCCTATGAAAATGAATTTCAGCAGTGTATTCCTGATGATGGTTTCTGACACAAACATTCAGACTCCACTCTTTATGGCCAAAGTCACAAATCCTAAGGGAAACTAGAACTTTCCAAGTGGTGAGGCTTCTTCCTAGGAGTAGGGATTAAGCCTGTTTGTGGGTCTCTGTGTGCATTTTGGCCTCCACGTTCTGATTGGCTGTGGCATGCCTGGATGGACAGTGACAGTGACTAACTGTATGACTCCCACATGCACAGGAGCCCATGGACAATCAGTGCTAGGCTCCCAGTCCTCTTGGCAGCACTGGCTCATGTTCCTGACCCTGAAACCTGTCTTTGTGGCCTCCCCATGCTGCCAATCTTGTATCTGTCTCTATCCAAAACCCTGGGCAGATCTGCTCAGTCTCTATCTGGGCTCTGGTTATGTCTGCCTTCAGCTTCCACGGGCTTAATGGAACTATGAAAATTTATAGCCCAATCAAATGGACCTCAGCTCCAGTCCTTGAGATGAGAACCTGCCACTCAGAGGCTATTTCCAGAACTGGGGCCACTGCATGCCCGGTTCCTGCCTCACACTTTCCCTTTTCCAGGCTCTGCCACCCACTGTCCCTTGCAAGGGCTCCTGACCCTGCCCACATCTGGCACAGTTTTGTGTCTCTCACTTCTGCATCTCATGGAGTCGGTTGGTCAGACCAGCTCCTTTCCCCCCCAGTACACCAACCTAGGGCAGAGGAGCCTTTTTCTAGGTTCCCCACTGACCAACATCACACAAGAGATGGACAACTCTGCCTTCCTTACGCAAAATTCAGGGCTTGGAGCAAAGCATCAGTAAATATATAACTGTACAGAAAGTACCCAGGCAGTGTTCATTCAGCTCCTGTTGGCAGGGATTTGCCCTCTAGTGAAGCCAGGATAGTAGATATTGTCACTCACCATCTGAAAATTTTGTGATGTGCCTCTGACCTCTGTGTTATTATCAGTCCTTTTTATGGATGAGGAAATTGAGACACAGAATCTTAGCCATTTCCCATGACCTCACAGCTAGACATTATGACTGAAGGGATGTTCTTTCAAGTGTCCTGAGGCCAGAGGAACAGTTTTTTACCAAGCTGGCATTCTGTGTCTGGGGCATCACCTTGGTGGTGTGCAGGTGGGTCATAAAACAAGGCTCTGTGTGCTTCACAGAGTGCTCCTAAAAGAGTCTGTGGCTCATGTGACCTCTGTGCTGATGTCAGAGTAGGATGAGAAGGTGGTCAGATGAACAGAAAGAATACTTTAGGCAGGGCACACAGCAATGGAGTCATTTCTAGTAATAATTGGGGGGGGGTGAGAAAAAGAATAAACAGTCACCAGATGTCAAAGCACCTGGCCTTGTGAGGACTCTCAAATGACTGAGAACTACAGGCAGTTTTGGATGGGTTAATGCCAAGGGCCATGTCATAGAACAGCAGATGGACAGTAATATTCAAGGTGTCAGCCCACCAGATGAATAATTCTCTGTTGGGAAATCTCATTAGGCATTATACCAGACTCTGGTATAATGTTTGCTTCTCTCAGTAATTTTCACATGTGCTATTGCAACTTTTCCCTAAATGGCTATGGGAATTCCCCCACTGATGTGTATTTACCTCACGAATATATTCCATTTACCTGGGCATTTATATCTGTAGATTTTCACAAACAAGATTTCTCCTTAATCTGTATATTTTTGATGAATAAAAATATGTTTCTGTTGAGATTTTCTTTGTGTCCCAGTATGTGGTCAATTTTAGAGAAGGTTTTGTGGGGTGCTGAGAAGAAGGTATATTCTTTTGTGTTTGGGTGGAATGTTCTGCAGATGTCTATTAAGTCCATTTGAGTCATAACATCTGTTAGTTCCCTTATTTCTCTGTTAAGTTTCTGTCTGGAAGACCTGTCCATTGGTGAGAGTGGGCTGTTGAAGTCTCCCATTCTTAGTGTGTGTGGTTTGATGTGAAATTTATGCTTTAGTAATGTTTCTTTTACAGATGTGGGTGCCCTTGTATTTGGGGCATAAATGTTCAGAATTGAGACTTCATCTTGATGGATTTTTCCTGTGATTAATATATAATGTCCTTCTTGATCTCTTTTGATTGATTTTAGTTTGAAGTCTATTTTGTTAGATATTAGGATAGCTACACCAGCGAGCTTCTTAAGTCCATTTAATTGGAAAGTCTTTTCCCAACCCTTTACTCTGAGGTAGTGTCTGTCTTTGAAGTTGAGGTTTGTTTTTCATATGCAGCAGAAGGATGAATCCTGATTTTGAATCCATTCTGTTAGCCTCTTTCTTTTTATATGCAAATTGATTCCATTGATATTAAGGGATGTGGTGATCTTGTGTCCCCCAATATATTGTGCACCTTAATAAACTTATCTGGGGTCAGAGAACAAAACAGCTGCTAGATAGACATAGAGGCCAGAAAATGGTGACATACACCTTTAATCTTAACATTCTGGTGTTAGAGATCCATCAGGATCTCTGTGAGTTCAAAGCCACACTGGAAACAGCCAGGCATGGTGACACATGATTTAATCCCAGGAAGTGATGGCAGGAAGCAGAAAGGTATATAAGGGGTGAGGACCAGGAACAAGAGCCTGGTTAAGCTTTTAGAGTTTTAGCAGCAGTTCAGCTAGAATTTATTCCAGATGATGACTCAGAGGCTTCCAGTTTGAGGAAACAGGATCGGCTGAGAAGTTGGTGAGGTGAGGTTAGCTGTGGCCTGTTCTGTCTCCCTGATCTTTCAGCATTCACCTCAATACCTGGCTCCAGGTTTGTTTTTATTAATAAGACCTTCTAACAATTTGTGCTACAAAGGGATATTAATGAACAGTGATTGCTAATTCCTGTTAATTTTGGTGGAAGTATATGTGTGTTTCCCTTCTTTGGGATTTGTTGGTATGGGATTATCTATTGCCTGTATTTTCATGGGTGCATCTTACTTCCTCAGGTTGGATTTTTCCTTCTAATGCTTTCTGTAGGGTTGGATTTCTGGATAGGTAGTTTTAAAGTCTGTTGTCATGCAATATCTTGTTGCAATCTCTATCTATGTTGATTGAGAACTTTGCTGAGTATAATAATCTGGGCTGGCATCCATGATCTCTTAGTGTCTGCACAATGTCTGTCTAAGACCTTCTGGCTCTATGTTTAGTGGTTTGATTACTATGTGATGAGGAGACTTTTGGGTGGTGTGGTGAGGTGGGGTGGGGAGAGGATCCAGTCTATTTGATGTTCTGTAAGCATCTTGTATCTTCATATGCATTTCCTTCTTTAGGTTGGGAAAGTTTCTTCTATATTTTTGTTGAATATGTATTCTGTGCCTTTGAGTTGGTATCCTTCTCCTTCTTCTATACCTATTTTTCTTAGGTTTAATTTTTTTCATGGTGTCTTAGATTTCCTGGATAGTTTGTGTTATGACTTTGTTGGCTTTAATGTTTTCTTTGACTGACGAATATATTTTCTGTATCATATCTTCAACTCCAGAGATTCTCTCTTACAGCTCTCGCATTCTGTTGGATATGCTTGCATCTGCAGTTCCTGTTTGTTTACTCAGATTTTGCATTTTCAGTATCCTTTGCCTTGTGTCTTCTTTATTGCCTCTTTTTCAATTTTCAAGTCTTGAACTGTTTCCTTCAGCTGTTTGATTGCTTTTTCTTGACTTTCTTTAAGGGATTTATTGATTTCTTCCAAGTTTGTGTTTGACTCTTCCTTGACCTCTT